TTGTGAATTTGTAATTATTTTAAAAGTTCTTATTGAAGATTTTATTTTCCTAACAATTAAAACTTCATTGTTGCGCTGTGGCGGGCGGGTGGAATGCAACCACTCTTGACTGAATGAAGGTTCTATACTTTTATAAATTATATCTTAAGTTTTGTCACTTGGGAGAGTACTCTGAATTTTAAAACTTGACATTTTAATTATAGTTAAAATAGAGATACTCATTTGCAATACGTATTTTGACATTTTTGATGTATGCTCAAATTTTTTTCAGATTTTAGCAACATTTGTTTTATCCTAATGAGTTTTTTAATCCGTAGGAGACTTGATTGTTAGAATGATAGTTCTTACAGGAACCAAAGCAAATGATAGCTAATAACCATTTAGTTAGGTTTTTTTAAAGTCATATTTTTAATTTTTAACTTTAATCTGTGGCCCTCAGCCCTGTTTTTAATCAAACATTCTAGGTCGTATAGCCCTGGTCTGTCACTTGCTGTACAGAGGTAACTCGTGGCTGCTGTGAAGTGATGTGACTGATGTGTCAAATGAGATAATGGTTACCCTGGTGGACAGTGTTCATGGAGCTCCCAGGTTAAAACAAGCATGGAAGCAGGAGTGGCATCCACTTGCGTAAACATTTTGCCTCCAGAAACCCGGTGAACCTGGAGAAAGGATGAAAGTCGCACAAGGGTCAAGGGCTTTTGTTCAAAGGGTTGCTATGAGTTGCCTATGACTCACAGCACTTAACAGTATTTTTAATGGATGTTATCTTAGCCTCAGTCTCTGTCTCATTGCCATCAAGTGGAAACCTACTCATAGATTGGATTTCCAAAGCTATGAATAACATGGGAAGTGCTCCCTCCTCCATGTAGTTACTGGTGTATTTGAGCTGCTGTAGGGGTGGGGCCTTTGGGTTCACAGCATAGCTCTCTCTGGCTACCCTACTAGAGCTTCCTGCCTTTAGTCTGTTGTGTGCTCTTGAATGGACCCACTCATGGTGACCAGATGGACAAGAGCTCTGAACCCTGCTCTGTCCTGAGGCAATCTCACTGTCTCTGACACACCTGCCTCTATTAACATAGTTCCTGTGTCAGTCCATCTCATCTGGGGTCTTAAGCTCCTCTATTGTTCCTCCACCATACTAGCATGAGGTCTTTCTCCAAGGTCCTTCCTACAGCATGCCTGAAGTATATGAGATGGAGCTTCAAAATTTGTGCCTCCAAGGAGCAGCTGGTTTCACCCTCTCCAGGACAGATCTGTTGGTTCTCTTTGCAGTCCATGGTGTGAAGTACAATTTTGAGGAAAGCTTCCTTATCAAGCTGAAATCCTTTGCTTAATAGTTGCCTCCCCTCCCTATACCTAAATCTCTCCCTTTTTTATAAAATAAGGGATAAGGCCTTCTGACCTTGTATCAAAAGATGAACTTTTTTCAGTGACTAGGAAGAAATCATTTGACTGCCTTAAATTTTTTTCCTTAAATGTCTTTATTAATGATTTTTTAATGCAATGTAGATTTTTTAAATTATTATTAAATTTTATTAGTTTTAATGAACATTTAGAGTATTCTTTCCATTTAATTTTCCCCCCATTAATTCGTTCATCCAGTGTTGCACATTTTTCTCCCTGCCCATCCCACCTCCAGTTTGTTTTAAACAGTTCTCTCTCTCATCTGTTTCAATATAGTTATGTATCCCCTTAGGTTCCCCCCAACCCCAATGCCAGTCAGATTTTATAACAGTGACACTATGCAATATTGTCCTTTTGAGACTAAGATGTTTCATTCAGCATAATATCCTCCACGCTCACCCATTTTGTATGAGTTCATTTTCAGTGCAGCATAGTATAGTATTCCATTGTGTGAATATACCACAGCTTCTCTATTCATTTGTTTGTTGATGGGCACTTGGGTTGTTTCCAATTTTTTGCTATTAACAAAGCCACAATAAACACGGGTGTGCATATATCTGCTTGGGTAGCAGTTCTGGTTTCTTTAGGGTATATTCCCAGTAGTGGAATTGCTGGGTCAAATGGTATCTCTGTTTGCAACTTTTTAGATCATGCCAAAACACCCTCCAAAATGGTTGCACCATTTTACACTCCCACCAACAGTGAATAAGGGTTCCAGTTTCTCCACAACCTCGCCAGCATTTGCTGTTTGCTGCTCTGTTGAACTCTGCTCTTCTTACTGGGGTGAAATGATGAGTTGATTTGCATCTCTCTTAGAACTAGGGATTTTGAACACTTTCTCCATGTGTTTCTTGGCCATCTGAATGTCTTCTTTGGTGAAGTGTCTGTTCATATCCTGGGTCCGTTTTTCAATTATGTTGTTTACCTTGTGGCACTTGTAGTCTATAAATTTTAGATATAAGTACCTTACCAGACATGTCATTGCCAAATATTTTTTCCCAGTCTGTGGCTTCACTTTTTACCCTGTTGGGGAAGTTTTTAGATGTGCAAAGGGAATTTATTCTTAGAAGGCCCCATTCATCTTTTATCCACTCTGGGCTGTAGGTTTCAGATTTTTAAGAATGTTGTTGTTAGTGTTAGGTTACTAATTGAAAAGTTAGCTCTAATCCATCAGCCACTCTGCAGGAGGAAGATGAGACAAGTTCTTATTAAAATTTATGCATGCATGAGTCAGGATTTACTTGATGACAGCAGGTTTATTTTTTCCTTATGTT